GAGAGAGAGTGGGGAGGAGGGGAAACAGCCCCAGGGGGTCCTGGGCCATGACCCTGATCTCTGGGCCTGGAGTCAGACAGTGCCTGAAGGGGTGGTAGAAACCTGGATAGGGAGGTGTGGAGAGACAGAGAGAAAAACCACCTTTGTCTGGAGGACCCTGTGCACTTTGGTAAAAAGTGTTGGGACTGATAGGTCACCCAGTGGCTAATCACAAGTTAATTTTCATGTTGTCACATGAATCTATTATCTCCATAATTCTCGTTGAAATTATCTGAGGAATGGTTTCTGTTCATTTTAATGGGATTTGGAAGGGGATAGAGAGGCTTTCTAACCTTTCACCAGAGCCCCAATCTCCCTGTAACACTGCAGAAGGCTTACAAATTTCACCTGAGGGTGGTGGGCATCTCCAGCCTCATTGGGCCATTTCTTAACCTCTGTGTAACATTTGGTCTTTGAGGTGAATGTGCTCATGCACACAGACAGTTTACTTGTAAATGGCTGGTACAAAATATCTGAATACATAACAGATGCACAATGGCACTATAGACTGGATGTGTTATGGCCCCAAACCATTATCACACCCCTCACAGTTGCATTTTATTTTTTTCACCTGCTCCTGTGTAGTACACCTGTGACTTGTTGGCAGTGAGCATTGTTGCAGTGTGGGAGAGTCCCAGCTTGACTGCCTGGCTTGGAGCTTCGCTCCATCATGTGCTGCTTTTTTGTGTGTGTTTTTTCTCTCGATCTTTATATAGCTTGTAAGAGTTCTTTGAACTGCTGTAAGTGATCATCTTTCAAGCCTGATGGTTTCCTTCTTGACACAGTGCTCTGAAAATGGAGATTGTCATGCCAGTGTTTCCATAATCATGCATGTAGAAAAACAGAGAAATATTCATTGTGGATGTCCTGCACAAATGGCTTGATCCACATCCAGAGGGCAGGCAGGGGGTGTCCCCAGGGAAGATCTGGAGAGCAATCAGTATCTACACGGACAATAATCAACCATTCTTGGAAATCTTTTTATTTCCTGCAAAACCCGTCGCCCAGTTCCTTGGTCACAGACACTTCCATAAATGGTTCATTTGGGGATTGTGCAGCCAGTAGAAAATTCCACTTAAACACTGCAGCAGCCCTGAGGCTTGGGGTAGTTGCATTTTTACCACTGACGTAGCTAACAGAATTGCTATCCGTTTTGCATGATTATTAAGAAAAGAAAAGAAGAGATTTTCCAACCTTGTCCTATAAATAAGCTGTGACTTACTTGATTTTGACAGGTGACTTAGTGCTGCTGTAGAGTTTTCCAGCTGCAATAATGTCTCAGAATGATGTATTCAGTGGGGTATCAGCTGTGAGCTGTGCATAAACCAGGGGGTCTAACAGGAGCTGGGAAGAACCATTTTTACTGTTCAGCTTCCAAATGATGTCCTGGCTCCTGCCAGCCCCCAAACGTGTACGTGTATGGATGGCCCTGGGAGCTGGGAGGCATGTGCAAGCACACACATGAGCATGCCTGGAGACACTTCATTTTTGTGGCTGCTCTATTTTCCTTTGGAAATCACCATTAAGCTGCTTGGGTTTTGGTTTTTTTTTTAAATTCTGGAGTTGAAAAATCACACCCAGGCTGTTTCCTGCCAGCCCACCCTCCTGCTGGAAAGGTGGGTGAAGTTTCCTTAGGCTACTTGGGTAGAAGCATTCCTATAGTATCACATGTTCCAAAATGCTCTCTCCCTTCTCGCCTTTACAGTTTCCTTCTGCTGCCTGGAACAGCCCAGTGTAACATCAGGGGTCTGTTTCTGCTAAGGCACAAGGCATTCTTGATGCCAGGATTTGCTGGATTTTTTAGCTGCTCCAAAAGTCTGGTCAACCAGGGGAATTTTCTTTGTCTGTGGGCACACACAGAGGTGCCTAATCAAGGTATTTGGAAAAGCATGGGTCAAATATGCAAAACACACGTGTGAGAGAAGAGACATAAGCCCCGAACGCCTCAGATGCTTTCTGACATCTGCAAAGCACAATTCAATGAGCTGCACATGCATGGGGCATGGGGAGTAGAAGCAAGAAGATAAGACATGCCAATTGCTAGTAATAGGAGACAGGTTGTGAGACTTTTTGGTTTTTTGGAAGGTACGTTTGTGTGGTCTGAAATACGTTTTAATAGATGAGAAACCTATACTGGTTGCAGAGGATATGGACAGGCTTTTGTGGGCCTTTTGAACAGCCAGAGTGGTGGTTATGCAGCCTTCACCCAGTGTTCACCAGGCCCTGGGTGTGAAGGAATTAGCAATTTTGCTCTTGGCCTGTGCAGGATCTGCTCCAGGAAAGGCAGGGGAGGGATGTGGTGCACACAGGCTCTCGTGTCTGTAGGCATTACAGATCTGTTTGTGAGGTCCTGTATAAAATGTGGCTCTATTTATTAACTGCTTGGTCCAGGGACTAGCCAGCATATTGATTGCCAGTAATGCATGCATGGGGAATAAATGGTACATTCTCAAGGTACTAAGACAAAATCAAGATTGCATATGAAAAATGTTTTTTTTTTTTTAACTACTAGCCCTATGGCACAGCTGGTTTCTCAGCTCCTACCTGACCCAGCTCTGAATGGCTGCAGCATTGGGTACAATCTGTTTGTTCCTCTGACAAACTCTGCTCACAATCCCTGTATATTCCTTGTATTGGGAGTGTTCAGAACATGTTATTAGCTGATGTTTGAGGAGGGAGGGCTCCCAAGGAAAGCTTCATTATCAGATTTAGAGCCACATACCATTCCTTTATTGACCTGCCTGGTGTAATCAATGCAGCAGCCACACAAGTTTGAAATCATGTTCCCTGACTGTAGACCGTGTGTCATGCATCCAGTGCTGATTGTGCATTATCTTTTAAATGACACTGCCTAACTAAGTATGGATTTGTCTACCACGAATAGCCTTTTTCCAATTTGAAGATGGTAAACCTTTCGGGTTTTTTTATTGATATTCAGGATGACCTAAAAATAGAACTGTAATGAAGTGCACAAGGAATGGCCATTGTTAAAATGCTGAGGAGTGTGTCTGAGCACAGAGCAGCCTGTGTATTCTTTCACATTTTCATTTTTCCCCAGTTAGGTTCAGTGGGAAGTTTCTTGTCAGTGTTGCCATTGTGTGTGCAGAGCTCCATCCATCCTTTTCCATAAAGTCATTGTTAGGCTTGAGAATAACATCCAGCACTGCAAAGGTCATTCCTTCTTAAGGCCAGGAAAGTTTCCATGTATAGCAAAGTAAAAAGCCGTTGAATTGTATGTTTGGTGATGTTAAATTGTCTAAGAGCAAAGTCGTTTCAGCAGTCAATTCATGTGCCATAATTTGAGTGCAATGCTTTATCCCTGATAAGTTTTCCAGACCTTTACACAGTCCTTCTGACTGGTGATTCTGAAATATTTAGCGTTGCAGGCCTGGGGTGTGCTCAGGGGGCCAGAGTTATGCTAAACAAGTAGTTCCTTTGTGATGTGACCAGTTGATGGTGTTTCCCTTCCCGAGGGCTCCAGCGGTGGGTCTGGTATCGCCTGTGCGGTACCGTACAGGGTTCCCCTGCAGCCAAATCCCTGCCCCAGCACCTCAGAGAACTTTGCCATGATTTAGGAACTCAGCAGCACTTCTGACATCTGGTGGTCACGTTTTGGGAGTGCACAGTCCAGAAATGCTCCTGCCTGCAAATGGGGTCAGTGCCGCCGGCCCCGCATCGCCGGCCGCCCATTAGCTCTTTCCACAGACCATTTCCATCGGGAGATGTCATGTCTGGATAAAGCAGAGGATTGCTCTTCTTTTTTTCTGATCAAGATGTAGCTGTGGATAGTGTAGAAGGACCAGATGATTTATGAAAAGTTAAAGTATCATACTTTATTTTAAAGCTTCATCATTGTAAATAAATTATTAGATTCAAAATTCATTTTGTGTTTAAAAACTTATTCTTCAAGCTGGCGAACTTGCCTGGCTCTGTTATTAGGCAGATGGAGACTAGGGAAATTGCCTAGGCTTGAAATAACACAAATGAATTTTTATATTTGGGGATGCTGGGGACCCAGCTCAAGGAAAGCTCACCGTGAAGCACTTCTCTAGTTGCTCAGATAGTTGGATAATCATACAAATAACGCTGAGCTTACGTGGAGGTTTGAGTCAGAACACAAAATGTAGGTGAATTGGTGCTGCTCTAAAAATACACTTCCGAGGTTGGCTCCACGATTTATTGGCTCCTACACAAAATGGCAAGACAGGTCAGCATCCTCTGATGTGAGATATTGTGGTGACAGGAGGCTATTACAAATCTACCAAGAGGAAAAAAAAGGGAACAAAAGAGACTCTAAACTGCTGAGAGGAAAAAAAAGGGAACAAAAGAGACTGTAAACTGCTGAAAGAAATGTGTCGAGCAAAGTCTATTCTTTAAGGAGATTTAACTCCTGGGTTACATGTCCAGCCTTTTTTCTGCTGGGAATACTACCCTGGTGCCTGAGCTGGCAGTTCAGCTGTTATTGCCGAAGTATTTCTTGGACTGAGAAGTGTGTGTCACAATCTGGTGTCTCTTGCTGCCAGTACTTGCACCCGGTACTAGTGAGAATAAAGGAGTAAAATATGGCAAGGGTTCCCCCACGATTCAGATTTTTATTTTTTTAATTGTTACAGTTCAGGGAATCCCTAAAGGCAGGTTTTTTTGCCCATGAAGTGCTACCACTTTCTTTATACGTATCGAAAGGGGAGGAAAAAAAAAAAAAAGAAACCCTCATGGCTGTACTTGGCTTGTAGCATTTTTTTTCTAAGTTCATGCCAGCATTAACAGATCTGTCAGAACAAAGCAAATGTGTCATATTGGCAGCTGTTACTTATGAGTACTTTTTCTTTATTGCATTTTGTTTTGTAATAATTGAGAAGCTTTTATGTCGAGCTCTGCATAAATGGTACTGAGTGGGAGGGTATGGGCATGCTTTCTATTATTCTGCCCCTCATGCATGTCTCCTTTTTTCGTCTTTCCAGAACCACACATTGAGCCAGCACGCACAGTGAGCCACTGGCACTACAGGACACCTCTCTGCAGAAGACTTGACGGTGGCACAGTGGGGAGGACCATTTGAACATTACATCCAATCAAAGTGTCATTTGCAACCCAGATGTAAAACTCTAATGATTTGGCCATGAGGCGCTGCTATTATAAGCAGCTGGAAATGAATATTAATGGAAGAGATTAAAAGTATTCCATGCTCAGTATTTTTTATTGTCCTGCTTCAGCTAGTGTACTTTAGAGCTTCTGCTTCTGACTGAATTTATAGTGTTAGATAAATCTGCTTTGATGCTGTTGCCCTTTGTTGCTTCTTGTATTATATTGATAGTTAAAGATTAGGTGTGATTTTTTTCCTTTTTCGTTAACTGCTTTTTAATTGCAATTTTAGGTAACTGTGCATTGTGATGTGATTGCTTGGCTATTGTCTGAATATTTCTTTTTAATTTTTTAATTAAAGACTAATGCTTTGATTGGATTTGCCAGTTCACCGGACAGTGATTAAAACTATGTAATGAATATAATCGGTTTCAGTGCAACTGGATGGTCTGCTTTATAAATGTGACTTAATCTGATTGCAATAACTAGTACAGTTCAATAAAGGGAATACATGAGCTTGGCGTCAGAGGTTGTCTGTCTGTCAGTGCCCACTGCATCGCCGCTGCTGGCTGGGCTGTCTGAGTCGGGCATCGCTCACCGTTCTGCAGCCCAGGAGGAAGGAAGACTCTGAGAAAACAAAATCCACCTTCCTGTGTCTGGCATTGTGTTCTCTTCTGGATGCACCTCCCAGGCTCCACGGTAAGTTGAGGTGAGGTAAGAACATGCACTATGAAAAGGTGTTGCTGGCTTATAATGCTCCTAAGTTTTACTCAAGTCAACAAGGATGGAGGGACCTGACCTCTAGCTGCCTTGACACTATCTCTGTGCTTCTGTGTGTCAGTACAAAAAAACACCTGTCTGGACTGTATACAAAGGCAGAGATATTGGATCAGGCCTTGTGGACTGTGTTAGGAGATTGTATGTTTCAACCTCCTGGACTTCTAGGCCTCCAGGTATTGTAGCTCTGTGTAACTGCCAAACTTCTGACACTGGAAGCTGCCATTAGGCAGCCCAACAGAGCCAGTTACCTCTTACTCTTCTGAAACTTATCATATGGTAATGAGCTAAGTTACATCTCCAGTCAGAGAAACAGTCATTTTAAGGACCATGGACACCTCTGGAAAGTTAGAGAGATGGAGTTCTCATGGTATCTCCTGCGTCAATGAATCATAACCATCATGAACGATGTTCAGCAGTTCTGACAGCTGAAATGATGTGGTTACCCACTGCCACAATGTACAAGGCTTCACAAGACTGTGCCATAGGAACAGGCACAGTCAGAGCCTTTCAAAATCGCTGTACTGAACTAGAGCACAACTGGTTGTCATTATGCCATGTCTGTGCTTGTAGGAAAAATGTTTTCAGGGACGTGTAGTCAATGCCCAAATTAGTTCATATAGTGATCTTATTAACAAGTACAAGGACACAGCTTGTTGACACTGCAGACGATGTTTTCACCATTTAGATCCCTGCTGGTGCTGATAGTCATCGTGCAAACACGTGGCTCCTTCAAGACAGAGGGACATACCACATGTAAGGGAAGGCTGCTGGGCATAACCAAAGAAGGGTCATCCCTACAGCAGGAAGCACCAGAGCAGACCTAGCTTGAGAAAAGTTCCTACTTTCTATATAAAAAAAAAGTCATGTCCTATTTGGGACAAATGATAGATGTTTTTTATTCTGTTGAAATAGCATTGCATGAACAATCAGAGTTTAGGCTCAAAATTTTGACTTGTGATAAAAATTTATGAATTCTAATATTAACAAAACTAGGAATGACTTTTCTTAATTCCAAAGAGGACAGTTCTTTTTGTATCTAGATAATTCTAAGTTCATTGTTTCTGCAACAAAATCATTGTACTAAAATGATCCATTTCTAGAAAAAAAAGTGTTAGCATTTTACCTGATTATTTCTCTGTAAGTCAATGCACAGATACTTGTGTTAATGAAATCACCAATTCATTATTCCTGTTCATAATGTATAAATGTTCCTAACTCCATTGCTACATTTTAAGATGGGAGATGGGCAAGTGTCTTGCAGGACAGGCTCACAGACATGCCCCTACAAGAAAAGCTGGGAATGTACATCAGCTGCTGTGGTAACAGCTCCTGTGCCATCTTCTCTGTGCTCAAAGAAAGTTCCCAGGTTCTCACAGTGGAGATACCGAAAAGGGAGACTCTTTGTCTGACACTAGGTTTGGAAGGATTCTTGATCACTTCTGGGCAAGCCTTCAGAAATTAAAAAGATGTAGGTTTCTATCTTCAGGAAAAGGTTCTGTGTTGGGAATCCCAAGAGCTGAACTGATGTTTCCATGCAACTGTGAGAGCTGCCTTAGTAGTGCTGTACTGAAGCACATGCCTTTGTCTCAGCATCTCCCTGCTGACTAGTTAAAACTAGGTGCACAGTCATTGTGCTGAGATGGGGAACTCCCCACTTGGGGATCCTGTTCTGAGTTGCATAATTTTCCCCACCTGTACTGGAAATGTGGGCATGGGGCCAGGGTGCTGGGGCCCATGCTCAGCCTGGCAGTGCCACGCAGGCTGGTGTTTAAGCTGAACATTTCATCTGCCCTGAACCCTGACCACACCTTGGACAGAAGGGGATAGTTTGGCTTTCCACCCAACCTTTAAAAGGTAAGGCACTCGAAAGCACAAGGGTGAGGGTTGTGGTCTTGCTCCAGCTTCTTCATCCCTTTTGGCATATGAGCTTCACTCATGAGCAGCCCAATTCAGGCTGAAGAGAGGGGCTGGGCTGTGCCCCCAGGGCTGGGAAAAACCTCAGCTGGTATCTTATGGTGCTTGGGTAATATTTGAACACTAATGGACAAATGCTGCCTTTTAAAAAATTTTCTTTCCTGAGACAATATGTACAAATGTGCGGGGATATTTGCCACGAATCTTCTGGGGTGTTTTGTGGTATTTTTTATATGACCAGATCCATATGAACCACATCACAGCACATACCATGGCAAGGGATGGTGCTGTCTTGATATCTGCTTTCTTAGGGGCCAAAGAAATCCAGTTTGGGTGTGAGGGTGAAAGCTACTGCAAGGAAGCAGAGGGAGAGCTCCTCTGTTCCTGCCATGGAGCTGCATCTGTGACACACTGGACACCTGGAGCTCTCAGGGATGGTCCTTAGCCATGCCAGGGTGTCTGACCCCATTTTCCAAGGCCTGAGCCTCCCCAGGCAGGGCCATGCCAGGCAGGGCTGTGGGTAGCAGAGCTCTGCAGCACGTGGGGCCTTTGTCTCATGCTTCTCAGGTGACAGTTTGCTGTGCTGCTGGTCCCACTGGGGAGCAGGAGCAGAGCAGCCCTGCACTGGTACAAAACACAGCTTTGCTGGCATAGCTGCAATCACACCAGGGAGTGCTTTGCCAGGGTAGTATATAGTTCCTGTATCCGTTAAAAGCTCCTAGGGAAAACAGAGCCTAACTGCAGGTGAAGAAAAGATAATATCACAGCTTCTGGTACATGCTTGAGGTTTCACCCCTTTTTTCTTAGTGGACAAGAAGTGCTGCTGAAGGCATTTGGAAAACAGTCAGAAATGTTGGCTCCAAAAGCAGCTATATTTCCACAGCTACAGCGCATCAAAAATGGGCTGGAGAGTCTCTCCATAATCCCCGTGATGTTTCCCTGCCTATCTCTGTGGCTGTTCAAGGTGTAGGAGACATGGATCACTCACAGGTAAGTGCAAACCAGAATTGCTGAAATTCTGGCTGAAGATGTCCTTTAGGCAAAATGTCATTTTGTCATCTAAATGGCATTAGGGCCAGTACAGTGTTGGAAACCATGAAAAGTTTTACATGTGTAATGAAATGTAGTACAGTTTAATATGTTCAGGTTTAGACAAAAACTGAAATATAAATTCATCTTAACTGTGGATTAACAAAGGACTTGTATTTGTAGCAGTCTAGTCTATTGGCCCTTGTGCACTGAATGATCTTTGCATTTGGGTTACATACCCACACATCCAAAAAGTATTGAAATACTCAGTCAAGAAGAAGCAACCAGTACATACAGCTGATAGATTATCTACGTAGGCAGCTTTACACATTTGTGTTCCCTTTGATGCTTCTGTTGTCTGATCTATCACCTTCAGCAAGGGATCACCACCTTTGGTCAGGTGCCTTAGAGTTTGGGGAAAAGCAAGTGCTTAGCCCATTACCTCCCGAAGAAAGTCAGAGAAAAGGAATTTGGAGTCCATGTGAGGAAGTGAGTGATCACTTTGTGCTGGAGCATTTTGAGTGGACTGAAGAAGGTCACCCCACTGAGCAGCAACTCAGACAGAATGTGAAATGAACAATCAGGGTGCTGAGGGGCTGTCCCTCCTCAGCCTTCCTGCTCTCCCAGCGGAATTAATGGAAAATCCACCCTCTGGCAGCTACTTTCATTGCAGTAAATCTGCACATCCCATGTCCTAAGTGTACATCTCACTGTCTCCTACTTTCCTCTCTAAGAGCAGGCTGGGTTTTGGTGGTGGTTTGCCTGGCTTTTGATGTGTAAATCTCCCTCTGGTATGAACAGTGAAGGCTTTTCCCCTGGTCTGCATAAGCAGTCCCCATGTTTTGGTCCACACCCTATTGGAGGGAGGTTTCTGCAATCCCTTCTGCACCACCAGCTCCAGCTAGGTTTGACAGAGGTGCAGAGGGCTGGGGTTATCATGTCCCTGTGGAACACTATCAGCAGTCAGCCAGGACAAAAATGACACCCTGCAAATGCTCTCACAGGTGAAAGTGTGTGAGCTCAGCATGCGTATGGCCACAGAAAAAAAACCCAGATGGTGGGAGCTGCAGCAGCCACAGGGCTTTGGAGCTGGCAGGAGTGTGACATGTTCTTCATTGCTTTGTGTCCTTTCTTTTTTGCCACTTCTCAAATGGTTTGCTCTTAGTTTTACCTGGTTTTATTAAATCGCTATTGCCCTAACAACGCTAAGGTCCCTTTCCTGCAAACAGCAGTCAGGACTTGCCTTTTGATCTACCTATTTATGAATTATTGTTACTTTCCTAAAGCCTGGCAGATGAGGTGACAGAGGGTGACAGGAGGTGTCCAAAGGAGAAACACTGAGCACCCCGAGAGAAAGGCAAGACAATGACTGATCACTGTGCAGAGAGTGCACTCTGCACTGCCTTGGGGACGTGCTGCAGTTTGGCCACGAGAGATTGCCCTTTCCAGTGGGGGGAAAAAGCAAAGCATCCCCCGGGTGTGGGGAGGAGGGGTCGGTGTGGGCTGGAGGCAGCAGCCAGGGTAGGGGTTTGGGCACTGCTCGGCCCCAGCAGCCTCATCTGTTTGGGGGGTTTTGCCACCCTGTGACATCTGTGTGGGTGTCACAGCTGCCCTGTGAGAAGCCTCACACTTCAATCCTGGTTCTGAGGGCTTTAGGGACATCAATGCCCCCGGGTAAAGGGATGCCCTGAAAGCATTTTCGCTGTTTTACCCACATTTGGCTCTCAGTGCTTTGTCTGTCTTTACAGCACAGTGCAATCTGCTCCAGCAGTTTGGAGAGGCAATACCATGT